CTAGCTTTTTGTATCCTTCCCCTAAACCATGATGTTGAACAATCTTTGTTTTCAGGTCATTTGACAGTTGTTTTGAGGCTCCCATGTTGTCAGTCTTCAGAGAAGATGCAAAGGGGAGAACAACTTGCAACTGGCCACTTTAAATACCCTTTCTCGTGATTGCCTTCACCTGTGTATGTAGGTCAAGGGTCAATGAGCTTACCAAACAACACTTTGTGTTCCAATAATTAATGCTAAAGGTATTCAAATCAATAAAACAACAATGGTGCCCAACTTTATGCACCTTTTGTTTAAGTAATTATTGCACACTTTCTGTAAATCCTATAAACTTAATTTCACTTCTTAAATATCACTGTGTTTGTTTGCTATATGTTATATTTAATTGAAATTGCTGTTCCGAACAACCATTGATCCATATAGAAAAATCTTGAAAATGATCAAGGGTGCCCAAACTTTTTCATACCACTGTATAGTATATAGTCTTACAGTATTACATTGTAAAAAATATCCTTTAACAGAACAAAGAAAAACTTCAGTGTCTTTTTTTACCTTCTGCTTATATTTGCATGAGGCTTATTTTTTTTACAGTTGTAAAAAATATTGTTGAGATAAACTTTGATCTGTGAAATGATTGCTCACAGATCATCAAAATCAAAGTTACACATTGCTGGAGAAAGGGTATTTTACCAGGCTTCTTGAATCATATTTATTTATTTATTTTGATTTTTTTTAAATAAATACAATTTAGAATGAGCTTTTTTGACGCCAGATATTTAATGATGAGAAAAATAAAATTGTTAACAAATATAAATTTATCGTATTTCTCTTTTTCAACCTCAGCAAATGTTTGGTTTTGGAGGAGCAGTCTGTTGTATCCCTGTGGTGCCACAGTCTGTCCACTCTTGAAGAAGCTGTGCTTAGTCTGCTGGAGTCAGTTGTTACCAACACAGCAACAACACCACAGAAGATGTTGGAAAAGGTCTCGCAGTCACTGCTGGTCAGTAATCCTCTTTATTATTTCACTATTTATAAAATAATTCATAATTAATATTATTCTCTGCATAATCTTCTTACTGCTACTAAATCCATTTCATCTCATTGTATCCAATAACACATTTTGGGACACAATAGCGTTAGTCCATGAAGTTATTACATTGTTTTACACCAGATGCCCTCACTGATTCAACCCAACCTGGGGTTTGGAGACTCAGTGGAACAAACCTAGAACCTTCTAGTGGCAGAGGAGGGTCATACCATAGCACTGCACTAATCTAGCCTCTATGTTACAACAGAGATACATTCAAAAATGTTATTGTATTATAAATCATCCTTATTCCATTTGGAACTAATTTGATGAATTAATAAAAAATAATTATTGTTTGCAGGTATATTTTAGGTTATGCTTGATGGCATTTAATTCTCATAATAATAAACCATAATGTGAAAAATTTGCATCAACCCACAAACGGTTATGGGACTTATATATTGCATATATTGCGGGAACAGTGTGTGAAACAACCTCAGTATGTCATGTGTGCAGCTGCTGAGACCTTGTTTATATCCACTGTCTTAGATGTGAAATGTGTAGAATGTTGTCTTTGTATTGTGGCATTTTCTGTCATTTTAATGCCTCATGATTTGGCAGCCTTTTAAGACTCTTGATAAATTGATGACATATTGCTGCTATTAAAGTGGAGGTTTGTTATATAGTTCAGACTCATCTGCCCTACATTACAGACTCAGTTTTGTTAACTGTGAAACCAAACATTTTATTGTTGTTTCACTCATAATATGTACATATAGAATACTGTCACAGATATTTAAAATGTTTACTTTAACTCTTTTACTTTACTTTATTAACTGTTATTGCCTGAACACCTCAGTGTTTGTCTGCGCTCTCTGATTGTCTCACATAATTTGGCTTGTTTCAACCCATTTCTGTGAAATGGAATCATTTGGCTCATGCTGCATAGACCTGACTTTTGAGAATAAATACTTAACCCTCTGTTGTGTGACTCCTATTCACCCTCATTTTGTCATTTAAAATGATGACTAGTTTAAAAATCAAAAAAATATTTTACTTAAACACAACAGCGCCATCAGGAAAAAATAATGGCTTTCATAGTTTCAATGGCCAATATATTTTGGTGAATCCTTTAATGCATTCTAGAGAAGCCACTAACACAGTGAGGTACAAAATAGAAGTATAATTAAGTACATCTTTGTATTCAGAGGTTTTAGAAAAATGTCATCAGTGTCTCTCAGAATCATGACATGTCATCACTGTAGAGACGACTTGAGATTATAAAATGAATGCATAATGTAATGAATGAAATTAATTGATGCCTACATGTTTACAGATTATTGGTGCCAATTGTCAGTGCCCAGCAGTAAGGCACCTTTTGTGCATGGTTGTGAATGGCATCCTGTTTACCCAAGCTGCTGATTACACAGGCTTTGGTAGCTGTGAATGTCACAGACTCTCAATTGGACTTGCTATTTTACTCATGTTGAGGCAGGTCATGTTTGTCAGACATGTCACTTCTCCTTTCCCAGGGTGATGGTCTGTTTGAGCTGTGTACATAACGCTCAGGCAGTGTACACTGTCTTATTTCATAAACTGTTTTAAAGAATTAAAACAATCAATTTTGCTCTTTGGAGGTGTGAGTTACTAACATCGTACTGAAATGACAGACAGACAAACGGTCAGAATTTCCCAGTGCTTGTAGTGACTGTTTTTTTCGTTGTACTTCCATCCATATGTTGTAGAGAGGGTGTGCACAATTTTGAAAAAGCTTAATTTAAGCCCTTCAGGTTGTTGTTTGTTTGTTTGTTTGTTTGTTTGTTTTTGGTCGTTAGATATGAGTTGTCATGAGTTGTCATATGAGTTGTCAGAGAGTTTCCGTTACAGTGTGTGATTTAAAGACCTGGGCAGGCTTGGTCTGTCTCTCTCCTCACCCTCCTTTCATTTGTTTGTTTTCACTGGAATCAAAAATGGGAAACGTGAATTAGACTCAGATTCCTTTTTTTTTTTTTTTTTGGCTTAACCGCCTCCCTTCATGTGATCCATGGAGGGACATGGGCCCAGCAACAATAAATACCCACTTCCTGGGCTTGACTGCCAAAAACAGGATGTTTGTTGTATGCTGTAATTAACCCTCTTTGAAGTGTTAGTGGTAAGGTATGGAGGACTATGCTTAAAAAAAACACCCACATGTTTTCAATCAGTGAAACCATGACTTAGTTTGTACACATGAATGCATGCTGGCATGCTGACATGCTGCAACATGCAAACTGAGATACAGACATGCATAATTTGAGAATTCCGAAAGAGCAAACATTTACAAACACTTTTATGTGATCAATTTAAGTTTGTAGCCAGTTTGAATAAAATAAACAGGCATGCTAGAGGAGAATGAAAGCAATCACTGTTTGTTTGGATAATGTAATGACAGCATATAAACACTGGGTGGGGTAGTTTGTTCTTTCTCGTGACCATAAATGTTCTTACGCACACTTGTGCTGGAACAACACGTCCCTTTAAAGACAAGGCTGTTGCTGATGTCCAACATATGTTTACATACAGTACGTAACATTCTTAAACCATTGTGCTTTACATTATTGTCAGTAGGTGAAATTAACAAACCTCTCTCGTTTGTGTCTGATTGTGTCTCTGTTGTTACAGTAGACACAATGTTCTCAACTATTGTGAGTCTGGAGGAGTGTGAAATGGAATAATTAGGGAGTAGAGAATTAAAAAAGGGAGGGAGAGGCAGACATGAAGGGAACAGCTGGTAAGTGTTTACACTTGGGTATGTGTTAAATCTAAAACACATGATGAGTGTACATTAGGAGCTGATGAGAGCGTGAGTCTGTGTGGGGTTGTGGAAAAAGACTGGCAAAAGTGGCAAACCCGGTTGAATTGGGATCACCTAAGGTGAGTGCTGCAACAGCGACGCCCAGTGGTGTGTTGATTTCCTGTGTTTTACTTTCTTACCCTTTTCTAAATTATCTATGAAGCAACATACTTTTCAGGCTTGTACAAATTTTGTTGTTGTTGTTTCAGCCCAAAGCCTGTGCTCAAAACTGCTCCATCTTTTTGGTGGTGAACGACATCTTCAGGTGAGTGGTGGTGAGATATTAGTAGGTTGCTGTCTTGTAGAGAGGTGAACATTTTTCAAGAAACCAAGAAAGTCCAGTTACCCACCACGTAACGAATATTCGCTTGCATACGTAAGCTGCATATGCTATATTTTCATTGGTTCTCAAACTATATATTTGTGCCACTGGTGCTACTCTGACTCTCTTTAGTGGTATGCAGAGATCTTAATCACATTAGGATTATGTTTTAGGACTAGTTGGTAAATACAGCTTGTATAGTGTGATCCCTGTATTTTATGTCAATCATAGAAGATGTTCATGAAGAGTCATATTATCAGAGGGGTAAGTCATGTGAAAATATTAAGAACAACTCTGTACATCGGCAGGTCGACAATGAAACACGCCGAAGGAAATGAAAACATGAAGTCACTTATCCAATTGTTTTCCCTCTGTTTCTTGAAGGAACATGCACAACTTCAGACTCAGGTACAACATTATCNNTCCTGCTGAGATTCATGTGACAACCATGATCTACTAATATCACTGACAAAACATAGGAAAGAAAGGAAGGAAAGTGAACTACTTGTCATTGTGACATTGTGACACACACCACTGCACACAATGAAATGTGACTTCAGCATTTAACCCATCACCAAAGTGAACAGTGGGCAGCTTTAAGAGCCCGGGGAGCAGTGAGTGGGGGCGGTGCCATGCTCAGACCACCGCAGTGTTAACTTGGCAGCACCACTGCCCTTAAAGGCAGAAGAAATGTCAGTATCTTTGCTGACTTCAAAAAGAAAATTTAGATTTGTCCACTACTGAACAATGTACAACTCAAAATTGATTTTGGCAACTGTCATCATGTCAATATGTGGGTGAATTGTTAACTGACTTACAGTTCATTAATTATAAATTTCAAATAGGAAAAAATACTTAATAGAATGTGACAGAAAAACTGTTCTTGTGTCCTATAGTGAAAATTCATTACAAATTGCTTTATACTATAATTTTAATATAATATAATAGAGAAAATACAGGCTTGAAGGCAGCTTAAAACCACCAACATTGTTGCTTCTTCCTAAAGAGTGCACAAGATGAAAAATGTGATGGCGGGTAAAAGTTATTTTTTCCGCAGGCAGTTTTCCACATAACAAAGATGTACAAATAAGCATTTCCTTTATAGAATTCAACCGCTGGTGAAAACCATCGCCTTTTGCAAAGCTGTAAATACAGCTAAACTCTTTGTCACATCTATAAACCAGTAGATGGCAGTGCTGCAGTTGGTATACACTACACTCGGTTCTAAGTGGCTGAAGTCACACAGCTAAACGTCAACTACTACATGCGTCATTACACATTGGCACCCACTGTATCACCATTACACAGCCTTCAGTTCAAAATGTCATTTTGGAGCTTTCAGGAAGCAGAGTGATTTGTGAGTCAAAAGCAAATATGATTTATGCCCATGTGAACAAAAAAAACCCTCCTCTCTGCTGTTTCAGATGTATTTGCCGTTGAAATACTTCTTCCCTCAGACTTCTCAGAGTCTGTTGATCCCCATGTCGACCTTGCCTTCAGGTCAGTGTACACAACTATTCATGACATTTCAATCAAATCAATCAATCAATCAAATTTTATTTATATAGCCCACATTTACAAAATACAGTTTGTCACATGGGGCTTCACAGGGTTGGTAACATCCTCTGTCCTTAGACCGTCAGCCAGGGTAAGGAAAAACTACCGAAAGAGAAACCCTTTCAACAGGGAGAAAAGAGAAAGGTAGAAACCTTAGGGAGAACCACAGGTGACGGATCCACTCCCTGGACGGACAGACGTGCAATAGATGTTATCAGAACATACATTGTACAAATACATAAAAACCAATGAAGAAAAAAAAAAGTTCAAGTTCCGGTTGTGGATCCAGTAGTTGTCGCAGTAGTGGTAGTGGCAGTAGTCCTGTGCTCCTCCTGTTCACCGGTGGCAGCAGAACTGTAAAAGAGTGGGACCAGTTTCCTAAGTGTATACATGGTGGTCGGTATGAATATAGGACAGGACAGAAGAATAAAGTAAGACCGTAGAGTCTGTGTCCTCATTATAAGTGCAAGATGAAGTGAAATGAAATGAAATGCAATGCAATGCAATGCCCCCCAGCAGTCTAGGCCTATAGCAGCATCTTTTTAGACTGTTCTAGTCGGGGCATGTTTAATCTAATTTAGGCTATAGGCTATACTATACAAATGGGTTTTGAGTCTCACTTTAAAGGACGAGACAGAATCTGACTCTCTTACTGAGAGTGGGAGCTGGTTCCACAGGAGAGGAGCCTGGTAACTAAAAGTTCTACCACCCGTTCTATTTTTATTTATTTTAGGGATGACCAATAGATTCGAATTTTGGGAGCGCAGTGATCTATTTGGTTTGTATGGGGTAATTAAATCACAAATGTATAATGGGGCTTGATTATTTAGGGCCTTGTATGTGATTAAAAGTATTTTAAAGTTTTAAGGTCTATTCTCCTTTTTACGGGGAGCCAGGGTGTTGAAGCCAGGACGGGGGTTATATGTTCTCGTCTTCTAGTTCCGAGAACATATAACCCCCGTCTTGGCTTCAATACACTGGATTTCCATAACAAATCTGTCCCTGCAGAAATGCAAAAGCACTGATTTGACTCAAGATGTGTTAAGGTGTTCTTTGAGTGCTTAAACACATCTGTCATAAAGTGAATAGACTCAGTGTTCTTTCTAACCAACAATAGTTAGCTGATAACCAAGGTAAGTCTACAGCAAACTCTGACAGAGTTTGAACAAATGTGAAAGTTAGTTATTCTCAATACATTGGTGCCAATTTCTAAAATGTCATCTCTGTAGAAAGCTGTTAAAAATATTATTTTTATTTTATCTTTTTTTATATATAAAAAAACCCCATTACTGTATGTGGCTCCTTACTACAGAGGCCAGCCAGTGTGGGTAGGTGCAGGAATTCTGTGCTTATCTGTGTGTGCCCAGACTGGCCTCTTGGCAGAAATGATTTACAGTGTTATGAAAAAGTTTGGGCACCCCTGATCATTTTCAAGATTTTGTTTTATGGATCATTGGTTGTTCGGAACAGCAATTTCAATTAAATATATCATATATCAAACAAACACAGTGGTATTTAAGAAGTGAAATTAAGTTTATAGGATTTACAGAAAGTGT